AGAGCACTCTGGAATTGTTTTCCTTCATTTTTGTTTTCAGAGGAAATATCTTCACCAAAAAAGATGAAATCTGACTTAATTCTGCTTGCTTCAATAAAGTTTTTATTAAGAAACTCATCGCACGTCACTTAAAAGTCTTCCACTGGTCTGCTTAACCTTGTCCTGTGCCTTATAATTACATCTTGTTTTCAGCTGTTTGTCACTGTTTGGGCTGGAATTTTCCAAGCCAAGCATCTGCCTCAGGTTTAATTTTTGGCAGTTGCCAGCTAAACCGCTGTAGTAATTTTCAAGAACAAGGTTAAAAAAATATTTTGCTCATATTAAAAAATAATAATCTGGTTGCTTCATTCAGAAGTGTTGGTATCCCCATCACAGAAGGAACTTGGAATGGAACACCATCACTGGTTTGCTTTCATCCATGCACTTTTTAAGCTGCAACTTGGAATTTGGCAGCACTGCTGCTGTGGTTTCACAGATGTGCATCCAAATGTAAAAAAAAATAAAAATTAAAAGTCTCAAAAAAAGAGAAAATCTCAGATTGCATGTGATTGGTTAAGAATCATTGACTTTTGTCGTTTTGCTGAGTTTTCCAAAGGCCAGCCCAAGCTGACAGAGCCCACTCCACATTCAGGGGCTTTTGTGGGGCAGCCGGGTACAGTCTGTGCCCAAGGCGGGGGGACCACGAGTGCTGCTCCCTTCCCGTGACATCTGGGTGCCTCTCCTGTGTGCACCACCTCCCTTTCTCCTGCTGAGCAAAGGAGGATGGGTCACAAAGATGAAAGTGTCTGGGAGGAGGCTGCAACCAGGGAGCAGAAAGTGAGAGGAAGGAGGAGATGAGGACGGTAGAGTCCAAGGAGACAACTACTACCAGTGACAATTCTCCTAGGACCTCATGGGCAGAAATCAGTTGTGGAAGCAGTTCTGCGTGACTAGGGAAAAAATTTTATACATATTTACATAAAGAGATTCTGCTATGCCATGGGAAAAGGGGTGATATATTGGGTAAGGAGATTGATAAGCATGGAGATAAAGATGCCAGAGGAAATAATTAAGAAAAAATAAGAGATTTGATGTGTGACTAAAGCAAGGGAAACTAGGAGATGAAAATAGAGTGTGAAGTGTGTAAGAAGGCAGGAACCAGGGAATGGAGAGATGAATAAACATGGTGGAAGAGAAAGAGCTGGGAGTTACCTTAAAGTAACAGAGAGGAGAAAGAGAAGGCAGGAGCCAGGCAGAAGGAAGAGCATCAAGGGAAAGAAGGGGTGTGAGTTCAGATTGAACTCTGAGACTAGGCTGATCTTCTGAGTCAGACATAAATGCAAATTGTGATTTATCTGTAATGGTATAGGAACAGGAATCAGGTATGACTAACATCTATAGCCACATTTTCTTTTCTTGTTAGAGATCTGTATCGCACATTCTGGATCTCGTGAGCCAGAGCCCTGGAGTTAAGGTGACCGTGTGTCATTATCTGTTTATTTTTCAGGCTTCCTCTCTCTGATTTTGTTAACAAACATTCAAGTGCCTGAAGTGCAATATGTGGCTTTTTTAAAAAATCACAGTAAAAAGTATTTCTGCAAAATCCATTTGAAAATGCTACAAGTAATTTTGAAATGATAGGTAGGGCTGCCAGCAGCGTCTCTCACTGGCAGAGCAAAGCAAGGCCCTGCATTCAGCCTGATGGCCTTTCACTGTGGGCGTTTGTCCTCTAAGAGGGCTTGCACCATCCCCATCACACTGTGTGTAATTCATCACAGGGGTCAGCAGCCCTGCCTTGGCAATTGTACCTCCCACCCCCAGGAACAGGCCTGGAGATACAGGAGCAGAGCTGGGTGCTGCCCACGGCAAAGCAGAGCTGGAGGTCACTGAGCAGCAGCCAGGAGGGGAGTGGGAGGTGTCCTGCCCCTGCAGACACCAGTGCTGCAGACACCAGGTCTGCTCCTCCAGTGACAAAACAGGGGGAAACATTGAAATTTGCCCCTACCATGGTGATTCAGCTTGCAAGCATTTGCCATTTATGTTAAATTCCAATTTTTTCAATATAAATGGCAAATGCTTCCCCACAAACAGCATGTTTGTTCTGTCACATTTTCTGCAAGCTGAAGGCAAGCTTTGCAGAACTGAGCTTTACTTTCCTTTTGAGAATGAAAGCAGCACTGCTGTCAGAGATTGAGTTGTTGGTGTGTATCAGGTGATAGAAAAAATTACTCTGCATATGGTCTGACTTTTTTTATATACATACTTGGGATCTGCAGGTGTTGATTTGCTGTATGTTTATCTGTTTGTCATACTGATAGCTTAAATCCACAAACTACACTTCTAATAACAACTCCTAGGGAGAAGGTTGCTGTTACTGCTTGGTTCCTCCTAAAGATTAAACAAAGCTAAGAGTTGGTACATTGACCTCTTGCTTCTTGAGGCAGATCTCTGTTCAAATTCTGACCTACGTCCTGGCTAAAAACGTGTTCAATCTTTTCTTAATTTGTAGTAGATACTTGTGTACATTACAAAATCGTCTCGCAATTTGGCAAATTAAGTTGTCTGTGGTTAGCTCTGGAATTGCAGAGATATTGCAGTGCATGCAGTGTTGCATAATGAGATTCCCCAGACTTTCCTTACTCGAGTGAGTAACAGCAATTCTTATCTCAGCATCGGATTCGTCCCGTTTTTGAGAAAAGAATTGGTATCAAATCTACGATGGGCATGTTATGCCTTGTGGCTGCAATGTTGTTTCAATTAACTTTCCTGAATATACCACAATGAAAAGTGTCAGCTTTTTGCCTCAGAGGCCTATAATTAGATTAAATGAATACTGTTAATTATCTACTACCTTCTTTACACAAAACAGTATGTTTCCATAAATTAAAATGCTCGTACAGGAAGGAAATTGTTGTTCTCTGTAATACATGCATACAGTGCTGCATTGTGAATACTGTGACTGTATCAAAGTGTAGCACAGCTCTGCAGCCCTTATTTTACAGGAGCTAAAACAAATTACAACTGAAAAATCCACAGACAGCACACTATTTTAAAGCATATATGTTGGTGCAAGGAGGTGATATTCCTAAATGTTACAGCTCTACTGAAACAAATACACTTTTCTCTTTAACAGATGTTCTCTATAAAATTCTCTTAGGGAGATTAAATACAGCTTTGTTTGTGTACCTACAGTCACACCCTCAAGGACTATGTTATGTACAGAGAAGAAAACTGCTTTTTCTAGCAGAGTGTACTTCTCCTTTCAGAAAAAATTTAAAAGTCCGTTCTGTAGGAAGCATTTGCAATTAACATCTGGGTTTCCAGGCCTGTGTATATTCCAGCTAGTGTGGACTGAACATCTCCTCTGCCTGTTCTCCAGCATTACTAAATGCAAGCAAAAGTTCCTGACTGATCAATTCAGTCCCATCCTGGCATGCCTGATTTGGAAGTGCAGATTTTCAAATGGTGGCACATCACCTCTAGGGTAACAGGTCTGAAGCAGAAAGTACTTTTTTTTGATTTGGCAAAGTGTATCCCAATGTCCCTATTTCCATCAGAATAGATGTTAATAACTTCAGGCCTGAACATGGATCCTCCCTCACCAGAAAATTACAATTAACTTTAGCAGAAGCCCTCATTCGGGCCTGCAATATACTCCGCATATAAATGTGATCTGTACCCAGGACTGCTCTTGTGTTTCATTAAGGTCAAACCCTGAAAAGCTTTTGAATACTCAGTGTTCCTACAAGGCATCGCATTTTATTGTGGTTTGTGCTGTGTCTCTTTTCCTTTAAATGTTCATTAGCTCCGTGTATGTTAAAGTGTTCATTAAAATATCATTGTGCTGGTAATAATAATATTGAGGAGTGAAGAGGGCTGTGTTGCAGTAGAAATGCTGCCCCGTTTCCTGCTCTCAGGGTGTAACAGGAGAAAGAAAGACCATCTTGATAGGCACTATCTGCTGAAGGAAAACTTTCAGAGGAGCTGTGAATCGACTTTAACCTTTTAGTGGCTGCACTGTGAAGAAAATGTTTCAAGATTCCTACCCCGAATTAGGCTTCTTTAATTTAAAAGATTCCTAAATGCTAGTGGCCCTTATAATTACTGCTCCAAATATCAGAAAACAGTTACAGAGGAACAAAGAAATGCGACTGGAAACATGGTTCAGTGGTCTTGTGCTTCCCTGAAAAGCTGATTATACTTTTGGCTGATTCACTTTCTTTCAGAGGGAATTTACCCTTTCTGGCAGTTTGAGTCCGGTTGCACCAACGGCACAAAATGCATCTGGGGATGAGGAAATTGGCTCGGGGTCCTCTGTGTGTCAAACTGAAATTTGCCACCGAGCTCTAGATTTTGTCTTTTAGCCCCTGAGAGCCCCTTGTTTGGTCAGATTCAGAAGCCATTTTAACACTAGTTTAAAAATAGAGCCATTTCATTTGTGCTTTTGCAGGTGCCTTGCCCAATTCCATGCTTTCCCTGCATGACTTATCTTGTAGGATAAGCACTAATCAAAGGTCAAGGTTATTCTGAAGTATCCAGCATAGGAGAGTTCTCTTTCTCGTAGATCCTTAAGCTGAACTTCGCACAATTGTAACTGATACTGTGCTGAAAGGTAGTTCAAACAGGGGAAAAGTACAAAATGACAAGCAGGAACCTTTGGCACTGTAAAATGTCCCTGGTGATTTGTACTTAGTGCTTCTTCAAAACGCAGAAGCCATTTTACCACTCAGAGCCATGGCAGAAGTGAATTATTATTTTTTTCCGAGTGGGGCTCTGCAAACCAGGGCTTCAGAGCCAGGCTTGGCACATCTGGCTCTCAGAAATGTGCCATGTACTTTACATCCGAAGATAATTTTCTCGCCTCTGTGACACAGAAGCCAAGAAGCGTGGATTTTTTCCCTCCCCCCTCTCTCGCCTGTCTGATTTTAAAATGTAACACAAGGTCATGCATGAAAAGCTCCGGCTGGGAGATACACCTTGCTACCCATTTTTTTTTTTTTTAAGGAAACCTGGAGACAAACCTGCTTGGTTTTGCCTTCTACGTGAGCTGCGGTGGGAGAAGATGCTTGTGCATCCCTGGGCGCGGGGCTGGGGAGGAGAGCCCGGCGCAGCAGCGGGAGCCCCGCCGCCGCCGCCGCCCGGCAGCGGCCGCAAAGATGCGTTGGAAACATCCCCCGGCAAGACGCGGGTCCCTTCTCTGTACTCACTGCGGCTGCGAAAGCACCGGAGTTTCGCTGAGGAGACTCCAGTCCCGGCTGCGGGGAGAGGGAGGAAAGGGAGGGGGAAGGAGAAAAGGGAAAAAAAAAAAAAAGAAGAAGAAGGAAGAAGGTAGAAAAAAAAAATAAAAAAAGGGGCGCAGTGGAAGTTGCGGCGGCGGGGGCGGCCGGGGTGTCCGAGCCCCGGGGCCGCGCAGCGCTGCCCGCCCGGCGGCCGCCCCGGGCCTGCCGGGGGAACCGGGGCGCAGCGAAGCGGCGGCGGAGCCCGCGGAGGAAACTAAATAAATAAAATCAGACTGTTATTTAAGGCGCGTAAATTTAAAATTATTTGGACAGGAAGAGCAAGGGGAGCGGAGCCGCAGGAGCCCAAGTAACGGTTTCGGAGCCGGGCGCGGCCCCCCCGCCCCGCGGCCCCGCGCCCCGGCGCTCCCCGGGGGCCGCCCGAGCTGCCCGCAGCGACCCTCCCTGCGCCCCGGGGACCCCGGCACAGCCCTCCGGGAGCACCGACATTTTGAGTGCCTGTGTGGTGGGGCAGGCTGTGCTGAGAGCCGGTGAGAAACCTTTCTTTCTCTCTCTCTCTCTCTCCTTCTTTCTCCTTTTTATTTTTTTTTTTTAATTCCTCACCCCCGCCCCCCCCCCCCCCCCCCTCCATGCACAGGGTAACAGTCCCCACGGATAAATGTAAAAGCTTTCCTCGCCTCGCTTTTTCGAGGGAATTTCAGCACTTTAGTCAGGAGATAATAATGTCTGGCTGCTTCTGGCTGCCCAGTGAATTCCCAGGTACATTTGTGGAAGAAAACCTTTTCTTTCTTTTAGAAGATGAAAAGTGGTAGTTTTCTCCTGTGTTAACTCTTTCTTTATGTGAGCAGTGCAATGGCATTTCCTAGGGAGCTGATATCTTACCCCACCGTGGAATAAACCATTGATTCCATTCCTCTCCCCACACTGAAAGCTGGAAATAAAGTATTTTCCTGCACTTAAATGTGCTGTGGCTTATTGCACTGGAGACTGAGGAAAATTCACCTTCAAATACCTTCCCAATCGCTCTCCCCCGGCTAAGGGCAGGGCAGTGCCCTGCACCTCTGCCCCTGTGTCCCCAGCACGCACAGTTCGGGTATTTCACCCTCGCACGGTGCTGCTGCCACAGATTAAACTCTCTTCGTTCCCTGTAGGATCCCTTTAGGATCTGCCCCTTTCCAAAAGGAGCTCAGCAGCCCCCGCCGTTGTCCCGAGGATAATTTAGAAACAAAGGTCAAGTGCAACAGCTTTGCTCATCCGTGTAACTGAAATAGGGGAGAGGGCTGTTGCCCCACAGTTGTGTCCTCACACAGCCTGGTCACTGTGAATCCTGCTACAGCTACGTTTTATGCTCTGTTTCTTCACATTTTTCTGTGCTTGCTGTATTTGTTTCTATTTATACCTCTCATCTCAATCCTGCACTGCTTGCTGCCGATTCCTGGGCTGCTGCAGGGCGATCTCTGCTCCAGCCTGCAGACTTAACTTGGCAGTTGGTTTGTGTCTCAATAAAAGCTCTCAAAAATCTTCAATTCAATCTCACACGCTGCAGTTTTGCATCTCTGGATAAATACGTTTGTCGACATTTTCAGGAATATGCGAGTTTTTGAAACTGGACTTTTTGATGTTGCCAGAATAGTGGGGGGAAAGCGCCAAAGCAATTTCTGAAACCACATGCGATATTACAATCCTCTTTAGGTGTCAAGATTCTCTATTAATGAGACTTGCATTATATTATTTTCTCCTCGCTCAGTGATTATAAAGACTTCTGGAGGAAAGCCATTCCCCAGCAACCGGGCACCTTTTGTCACTGGCAAACCCCGTAAGGTGCGCGTAACACCAGCTGACTGATTTCTTTGGTTTCCCAGAGGCTCTTTGCAGTAACTATTAACTTCCTGGGATAATAGAGAGCAGTTTTTGCTTTCCAAGTATCTAACTAGGGATTTCAATTGATCATCTTGTTGAGGGGCTCACGGAGAAAACGCAGCAGTGGAATCAGATAAAACACACCTTCAAACCAGACTATCAGCCGTGACTCAGCCGCCGAGGCTTTGGGCATGGCCGGGGGGTGATTCGTCCTGGCTTTAACCCTGAACTCCTGGCACGCAATAAAAGCCGCTATTTCTGACTAGGCGGGGCATTTTTATCGGAAGAGAAGTTGTTCTTATTAAGCCACTGCTTAAACTTCGCCTTAGCGTAGATTAAATGCTGATGAAGCTCCAAGCGGGTTTGAAATTAGGTTTTTTAGTAGCACGGGTAGAAAAAAAAAATAACAAACGTGAGAAAGCTGGATGTTACCTTCTACACAATACCTCTTTGTGAGAGGAATGGAGAAGGAAAAGTCTTGGAGCATCCTCCAGGACACGAGGAAAGGGAGATGGAGAGCAACACAGAGCGATTTGGGTCACTTCACATGGGGGAACTGTGGATTATGTTGCTCGGTTGAATATTTCAGGTGGTTTAGCGCTCTTTCTACTAGGAATTTTGGGGTTATTTCCCCAAAAATTCTTCTTATGTGCTGTGCTGCTCCGATTAATGATCATGGCACAATTTTTCATATTTCACAGAGGTTTTTAATCAGAACACAGCAGTGTGACAGAGCTTATAGTAAATGTGACAGACAGTTTCAGCAAAATTTTTTTCACTTGAAAATGTAGTAACTGATTTTGGGGGGCTAATTAAAAAAAAAAAGTTAAAAACTAAAACTATTCCCTCTTCTCTTTTAAGTGCTATTTAAAGTAGTATTCATTTTTCATTGATTTAAAACCTTCTATTTTGCACGACTGAAATTTAGACTATTCAAAATAAAGCACTTTAAACTGCCCATCTGCCCAATGAGTAGATCCTGTACAAATGTTAAAAGTTTCATAATAGACTCTTCCCGACACGGTGCTGAGCATCGTTAGCTCCTGTTGAGGCTGGAGAGGCAAATGAGTTTCAGTCTGGTGAATACACTCAACTCTCTGTTGCAATAGAAAATTTCCAATGGTTAAATTGTGTTTTAGGTGCAAGCAATAACTTAACTTCACAAATATCAAAAGTGCTGCTTCCTAAATGTCACCGTATTCAAATGTTCTTGTTTTGTGAGATGCTGTCATTAAAATAGTTTATTTCCAGAAAAAACAGAATAGTTGATGGAAAGCAAATATTACTTAGAGAACATCTAAACTGCAATCAGCAGATGAAGCGAGCAGAAGTGTTGTATTGCAGCTTTCGTGTCCCCTTTGACAATGGTTCTCTGCTGCTTGTTTTGAAACTAGAAAAAAAAAAGTCCTCTGCAGTGCACAGTAAACACGAACTACTAAACTGAGCTGTTTAAAACCTCTGGCAATCGAAGAAACACCACTTATACTGTTTCTGGTAACTAAATTCAAAACCAGATTGGTGAAAGTTTAAATATACAAAGAGGAAAAGTGTCATCTACATTTAGAAAGTAAGTGACCTAGTTCTACAAGCTCTTGTTAGTAACAAAATAGAGTTACTGCCTAAAGCATCTAAGCGCCATCCACTGTCCTCAGGCCACGCAGCCTTTGACATCCAGCTCTGCCTGTGCAGGGGCTGCAGATGACCCCTTATTAAAAAGATGTTTTTATCTAAAACAGGACCTCAGGCTCTTGAGCCTGACCGAAAGGGGTGGGGGGAGTGAGGAGAAGGGAGGGGTGCATTGAGAGGTGGGAGAAATCACAGTAAACTATTTCCTTTTCTTAAAAGTCCAGCAATATTAAGCACGTGAATAGTAGCTCTTGTATTAATGACTCGATACGAATGACCTAAAATAAATTGTAAAAGTTGATACTGGAAAACTAGATATGAGCAACCAACATACACACGGATGAGCCTGGGAGTACTGTGTAAAGTGAAAGGTATAGGAAACTGCTGGGAGCATGGATTTGAAACGTATCCATTGTCTAAAAACCCACCTCTGGAATTTCTCGAGACTTACACTACCAGCTGTTCTGAAGGAAAAAAAAATAAAAAATAAGTGTGGCAACAAATGTTGTTAAAAAGGAGGAAAACACCCCAAGAACTGTGCACACCCTCACGTCCAAAGCAGACCCCGTCCTGGCGGGGCTCAGTCCATGCTGGGGGGGAAGGAGCTGCTGGCCTCCAGGAGTTCCACCACGGCTGCCCTCCGGTAGAGCTTGGCCAGGTCGTAGGCGGTGGCCCCCCGCTTGTTCTGGTGGCCCACCTTGCACTCGGAGCGCGCCAGCAGCAGCTGCACCACCCGCACATGCCCCTCCTGGGCCGCCAGGTGCAGGGGCAGGTTGCCGTCGTTGTCCTCGATGTTAACATCGGCTTTGAACTCCAGCAGAGTCTGCAAAGTGTCCAGAAAGCCCTCCCTGGCTACATCGTGGATGACAGCGAAGCCGGTACTGTCTTTCAGGTTGGGGTTCGCCCCGTTGCTGAGCAGCCGCCGGGCGATTTCGGGGTTCCCGAGTTTCATCACCTGCGAAAGAGAGAGGAGAATTGGATACCGCGGGTGGGGGATGGCTGCAGCTCTGCCTCCCGTCCTCGCTTCTCGTCCCTGGCTTTTGTCAGAGTCCAATTCTCATTTAAAGCAGACAGAGGAGACTCGCTGTAGAGCTAATGACACACCAGAACGTCTCGTTTTTCATGTATTTGTTACTGAACTCGGTGAAATTGTGAAAGATGTTATCATTTCGGTGGTCATAGCTTTCTGCCTCGGAGAGATTAATGCCTGAAACAGCACAGAATGGCATATAACAACTTCTTTTTTTCCCCCTAACGAGGGTCATCTCAGTTTCTTAACATATAAAAATTAAGTACAGTTCGGTTTTATTTGCCTAAGTTTTGAGACACTTCTGCATTACTGTTTAATCTTGTTAAACAGCAAATATAGGGTCTCTGAGGAACAGATATTTTACCTAAGCAACAGCAAATGTAGAATGTGTTTTTACAAGCTTTCAGGTGTTTACATTGTCTGTGCATTATCATAAAACAAATATTTGGACTGTACCATAGCTCTATCTGTTGAGAAACATAAATGTTAAAAGAAATTCTTCTCCCCAATACTTGTGTTTCATTAGGTCACCCAAAAAGGAAAAGTCAAAAGGAATGTTTCAAAGTTACAGAAGTAATCTTCTAAAATCAGTATATTATATTGTACTTTCATAACCTTTCTATAAGTAAACTGTGGCTGTGTTCTGTCGTTAAAACATCCCTTAAAAAAATACAACAACAACAATAATTGGATTTTCTGACTGTTTCTCTCAGGGAAAAAAAAAAAAAGCTTCTTTCAATTTTCTCAATTGCATCATAAAACTATCATAATTAGAACACAAATCTCTCTTATTTGTAACTTAACTGCTTGCACCGATTTCCTTTTAATTCCTCATTTTTTGTTTGCACACTTTCCAAAAATGAACACTGCAATGTATATTGTGTAATCTCTAGCCTATAGGCAGTATTTTCCTGTCCTTGTAACTAGTCTCATTGTAAGTATAAAATTCGAAAAAATACCAACTCTTTTCTATTTCCTTACAGAGAGATTCACACATTGATTTGAAAATCTTGATTAATTAAAAAAAAAATCAGCATAAACGAGCATTACAGTGCATTAGATTTAGCTTAAGGTACAATTTCTACCGAGGTTTGCTGAAAATAACCCCTGATGAAAAATATAGATCAAGTTTTTAAAGAAAAACAAGATATAATAAATACATTTATGTACAGCGTTTGAAGTGTAAAGCAGCCCAGCACATTATAACCACAGACAGGAGCAAAAGTGCAGATAAGACAGGCTGGGATTCAGGGAAAGAGATCTCTCTGTGCCCCAAGGCTTGCAGCTCCCGACTTCCAGGCACTTCTTTCACTTCTGACAGAGATGGAAGCGATGTAAAAGAAAACAAGATCATTGTGATCTCTCTTTGTTTAGTAAAAACCGGACATTCTGATCTCTTTTTGAGAGCCCAGGCTGTGTTATTTGTGAATTCAAAACGTATATTTGGGTTAAGTGGGAGTTTTCAGTGTTCAGGCCAGGGGACTGAAGGCTTCAGTTAAAGATGCGAGGGGGAGAAAATCCTAAAAAAGGTGATGCCTTTTGGCCGTGGGCTACCACTGAACAGCAAATGCCTCCTGTATTTTGCAAAATAATGTTAGGGGGGAGAGAGGTGTAGAAGTAGAAAGCATTAATTTAATAAATCTGACGAAGAGTATAAGGGCAGGAGATGTATTTGAGGCCTGCATAGGTACACCTCACCAGAAATAAAAAGGACAGAGCAAGACAAGCCGAGTAGTTGTTTAATTAAACATAAATGCAGAGGAAAAATATAAATTAATTTACATTAACATAGGAGCATTCTCTCCGTTGTAATTGAGAGAGAGATTACAGAGAGATTATCTCACTCTTGCAGAGTGCACTGAGAGAGAAGTCTTTCGAGCGTGGCCAGGCACCCACAGCACATTTCAGGATGATACATATTGAAAATAAGTCGACAGATTCTCCTGTTTTGGTTTTTGAGGTGGTTCATTAGCTCAGTTGTTGTAATCCCTAAGAAGTATCGTTAGGGAACAGATGTTTAATGCAGCTGGATGCTATGCAATTGTGTAAAATATACCTTAATTCAAGATATGGACAGTTATCTGCTTTTAGAAAAAAATATCCAGCATTTCTGTAGGACAAATCAGTTTTCAGCCCTTGTCCCGAGGATAAATCAACTAGCTAAATGTTTCCTGCTTTCTTAAAGAATTTAGCTTGTCTAAGTTTTTAATTTAAACCCTTTCACTCTCTTAAAAGTTGCTGCAAGTGCCTGCACTGCCATGCGATGCCCTATTTAGGTGTTAAGAGCACAGCGAGGAGCTCACAGATCTCCAGCTTCAGCGAAATTATCAAAAAAGGGTCATTCCTGCATTATCAGCAAGAGGTGCTTATTTTCCAGCTCTAACATTTTGATGTTAAGCCAAAAATCTGTAAATATCTCGACTACATTCACAGGTTCTATGCTGTCTAAAAATCCACTTTCAGAAATTATTCCCATGGTTTTGGGGGAAGGGGGAAGAGGGGTTAAAAAATTATTTTACTAATGTGTGAAATTAAAAAGACCTATAGCTCCACTTCCACATTGCATTACTTACAACTTAAGTACAAATAACCACACTTATTTTCCCTCTGGATTTATAAATCACATCTTTCACTATTTGGTAGGTATTCTAGCCTTTTTGCCATCATTATCTGATAATATTAAAAGCAAAATCTTTCATCAGCTACAATAGTTAGCAGTTGGACGAGTTCCAACTCCTGCCTGCACAACTACAGAGTTAAAAATCAGGACACAGCACCCTATACGATCAGAAAGGAAATAACTGGAAGCAGTGCCCTGCTAGCCGATCTGAAAAAAGCAAATTTTAAAGCCTTAAATATGAATGAAAAAGCAAGTGATTCAGCTGGAGCCCTGGCTCGCAGGGCTAGCTCTTAATGTACATCGGAGGTCCTCGCTTCTGAGCAGCATGATTCCCAATGAGAAAGGTCATTCCCACAAACAGAGTATAAAGGAAAAGTACCATCCACAGCACACCCCAGAACCCAGACGAGCCACGCTTTAAAAGCACATTGCAGGAAAAAAAAAAAAAAAAAAAAAAAAAAGGAAGAAAAAATATAAAAATCCTAAGCTTCAAAGAACAGAACATTTGTGTTTACAGACCTGCTATGAAATCCTGCTCACCTAAGCTGATTTCTTTTCATCTCAGCTCTCTCATTCCTTGCCTCCTCCCCACGAAGTTACAAAATATTAGCAAACTCGTAGCCCGTTTGACATTGAGGGTGATCCCCGATTGAAAGAATGGTTTTGACCAGTTTTATTTCAAGTACGTCATTTTAGGGAGTTGGAGCCACTAAACTTATAAAATATGGCATCCAACGAGTTTGAAAAACCACTCGAATTTCATCCACCAGCCTGCTTAAAACGTTGTCTTTTTTGGAAACCCGGGTCACGTAGGTACCAGTGATGAAATATTTTCTCCCTCTCTGGATACCAACCTGCAGCGCAGTCCTCCCAAATCCATTTTGTGCATTGACGTTTACATTCTTTTGCAACAAATTAGTAAGTTGCACTAGGTCCCCCTTGGCAGCCGCGGACGCCAGCTCGTTCCCAGAAGGCTCGGCCATTCTTTAGGGTGACTGACGATCGGAAAAAAGATGAGATTTTTTTTTTTTTTTTAACCAGGCATGGCATCGGAGACTGACAGAAGGATTGGGATGGTTAATCTTCTGGAGTAAGACCTTGTAGTAAATACTCGTAAAAAACCTCCTTGCCAAGAGCCCGCCCCTAACTCACACGTGATTATTCAGCAAAACTGCAGCTCCACTTGAAGCAAGATTTCTTTGCTTCCACATATAGAGTAACTCTTATTAAAGACTTTGGCCACTTTCGCGGGGGGAGGGGGGGAATAGATTAACAGCTAGGCAAGATATTGTATATGTTATAGGTAACATATATACACGTACACCGGAGACTCACTCAGACCTGAGATCTTGGAAGAAGAAGACAACCCACCCTGTTCACAGCCGGTTTCTGAAACTTAGCAGCAGCAGCTCGGAGCAAAGGTCTCCTGTAGCAGAGTGCATCCAAATCCCGCTCGGGATCCCCCCTCCATCCCTCTCCGTCGGCTTAGTCCGGGCCCAGCAGGGAAGGGAAGGACGAGCCGCGCCCGCGGAGGGCCGGGCGCGGTGGCGGCGGCTGTCCCGGCGCCCAGCTCGCTCCCTCGGTGCTCTCGCTCCCCGCAGCAGCAGCAGCAGCAGCAGCAGCAGCAGCAGCTTCACTCCCGCGGCGGCCGGGCTGCTGGCGGGGGCAGGGGCCGCGCTGGTGCCGCCGCTGCCCCGGCCCGGCCGCGCTCGCAGCCGCACTGACAGCCCCGCTCGCCTCCTCTTCCAACTTCGCGAAATAAAGCTGCACTTGCCGGTCCGCGGCCGCCGCCTCCGCCCGCGGCTTTGCGCTCCCCCTTTTTTAAGCGCAAACAATCGCTACTTCTGTTTCCTAAGGACACGAAGCCGGTTTCTCTCTCCTTTTTTTTTTTTTTCCTTCTTCTTTTTTTTTTTTTTTTTTTTAACCTCATCAGCTTTTTTTGAAAAGAAAAAAAATTTGAGCGCTTTTTGAGTTGAAACACCCGCCCACATTTTAACGGCAGAGATTTAAGGAGGCGCGGCGGAGTTCGAGCAGGAAGGCCTGCAGCGGCTCCCGCCCGCCCCTCGCCCGGCCCCGCCGCGCTCCGGCCGCCGCCGCTCCGGTGCCGTCCCCCGGCCGCGCAGCCCGGGCACGGCTCCGCCGCTGCGCGGCGGGTTGCGGGAGGAAGGCCCGGCGGCGGCCCCCGCCCGCCCCTCGCCCGGCCCCGCCGCGCTCCGGCCGCCGCCGCTCCGGTGCCGTCCCCCGGCCGCGCAGCCCGGGCACGGCTCCGCCGCTGCCAGCACAGCCCGGCTGCTTTTCGGAGCAGCGCTGCTGAGGCCTAGGGTGGGGGGAAATGAAAGGAAAAGGAGGGTGTAGCGGCGGGAGCCGCCGCGCCCCGGCGGGAGGAGCGGGGTCGGGGGAGCCTGGCAGGCGGCAGGGCGGCCTCCGCCGCGGCGCTGCCCGCGGCTTCTGCCGGCGGTCTCCNNGCCGGGCCTGGCCCCTTGGCCCTCGCTGGGCGCCCCGCGGGCAGCGGCTCCGCGCTCGGGCCGCCCCGGCAGCGGCGCGGGCTCCTCTCCCATCCCGAGGACAAGGTCAAGGATGAAGGGTCAATGTCAAGTTGTCTTAACGGTGGAAGGCGACCGTCCGCGGCAGCGCTGCCTGCTTCCCGCGTTTCTGGTGTCCTTGATTGATTCGAAAATGCCATTTTGAAGGGGAACCGCGCCCGGGCACCAAGAAGACGCGAGGACTTCGCTTTTCCTTCCCAGGGCGGAGAAGTGAGGATGGTACAGGACGGGGATGTCACCGCCACTCTGCCTAACAGTGTTTAGTGTCTCAAAGTGCTTTAATGGCTGGATTGCTTTAGGTTTCAGGGACCCTCGGAGCCCTGCGTTCTGCCAAGCGAACCCTCCGAGAGGTAAGCAGCGATGTCATGGCTCCCTGATAAGCACACGTAACCCATCGCTCGCAGGGGCAATCTGCACGACTGTTTTCTGCCTGGACGCCACGGGAAAGCGATTTTTGAATGTAAACAGGCGAGACAGCTCGGGGAGGCGCGTTAGGGAGGGAACCTGCGGTGGCTGCAGCCCCTCCAGCGCTGCCCTGCGGGGGAACCTGCCGCTGGCAGCCGGGCAGGGGCCGGAGCTGGCCGGGGCCTGAGTCGGGGCCGCCGCCGTCAAACCGAGCCGCTGCCACAGCAGTGGGTCTGCGGCTGAACGAAGGCACACTGCTGTACCCGGCTTTCCTCTCAGCTTCGGGTGCTTTTTTGCTTTGCAGTTGTATTTTCCTGTGCTGATTCCCCCATCCACGCTTGTTTGCGAATATCACAAAGGTGACAAGTGTGAGCTGCCTACACACGAAGCAGGGAAAAGAACTTTGTTCGGTTTATCAACTGACCCTCCACTCCCATTCCCACTAAAGGAGAGAAAAAACACGTCTATTTTTGAGGCCCTCACTGCAGTAATTTTTTCCCTCATTTTTTAAAAGCGAAAATATAAATTATAACTTCCCTCAAAGTTAGCTCTAGAAATATATGTATGCAAGTAGCATCTGTTTATTCAAATATAGTTGTATTTCTGCATAAAGAGGGAATTTATATGTAAAACTTGGATTATTCAGTCCGATGGCTTATAAGCTTCTAATTTTGTGACTAATTACTGCCTAAAATCCACAGGCTTTGGTGGTGTTACCTGTTGCTAACTTAGTGCAAAATTAGACCTGCAAATATTACAACAGTCTCACACTATTTTTTTGTTGGTTTATGGTTCAGAATAAAGCTTCCATCTTCTGTTAATCATGCCACACAGCAAAATCATTAAGTAAAGTGTAGCTGGAGTGCTGCAGGCCTCCTGCAAGTAAAGCTGCCTGGCCAGAAAATGCCATCAAATTTCCTCTACCGTGCAGGTCTGTCAAAAGTCTTTGCAGAAAGCAGTTCGTTAGTCCTGATCATTTCCTCTCATGAGTGGTAAAGATACTCCACCTAAAACAGGGAGATTTGTCCCGATCGGCTCCAGAATCATCAGAAAAAAAAAAAAAAAAAAAAACAAACCAAGAAACCAGCAACAAACAACTTCTGGAGGGAGATATTATCACCGGGCATTATAAGGAGTAAAACAATCGGCTCCCTAATTTGTCTCTCACTCGTTGGAGGATAAAACCCACCTCGAATGGCTCAGAGAGGCTGTGAGAAGGCAAACAGAAACTTTAGCTGTGACTTGAATGTGAACTTCCTGAGATGTGGGGCACGTGCAGCTTTTCACCTTTCCTTCACGTTCTGGATCAAATCCTTCCTGTTTTGATCTAATATAGATATCATTATTTAAAATATGACTGTAATAGACATGAACGCCCTGTAACTAATCTTGACAACGTACCTATAGCTTCAATTTGTGCCAGGAATTAATTGGCTTTATTCCAACTGCTAAAACTCGCTTTTCAGCCTTTATTATAGTTACTCTCTAGTAATGTGTGGGTGGATTTGTTTGTAATTTAGCATAGGCTGTCCCTGGCACTGCACCATACCTTCTACTTAGTACAGAACTGTCTGTAACATCAAACTGGGGGGGAAAAAAAAAGGTGCAGGTGTGAGGGCAATGAATTTATCATCCCTCCGGTCGGAGGTGGGGAGCTCGCATTGTTGAGCTCACGTCAGCGGGCAATAAAAACCTCTTGGCAAGCCCTGCCAACACAAACGAGAGCAGGAACACGGTAAAATGCAAAACCCAGCTTCTCTGACGCCGTGGCTTCGCACCCTCAGCGGCGTTTCCGTGCGCCGCCAGGCACCCAGCCGGCTCCAAACCACCCCCAGGGCTTCCCTTGGGATCAACGAGAGCAGGAACACGGTAAAATGTAAAACCCAGCTTCTCTGACGCCGTGGCTTCGCATCCTCAGCGGCGTTTCCGTGCGGCCTCAGCCCGCCCGGAGCGCCGCCAGGCACCCAGCCGGCTCCAAGCCATCCCCAGGGCTTCCCTTGGGATCGCGGACCCTCCTGAAGGTACAGCTGAGCTTTTCCCTTCTTTTTGTCGGCGGTGGCGCCGGGCTCCGCCCGCAGCTCGCCCCGGGGCCAGCGGGGGCAGGGAGCTCCCTGAAACCCCCGCGGATGGACCAGAGAAACAATAAAGAACGCTGCTTCCTAACCCGGCAGAGCTTCTTGATTCGAAGGTGTGGCAATGCAGCGACACGAGTGACAGGGCAGCGGCTCGGTGCGCCCGTGACCTCGGCTGCGACACCCCCAGCACACTCACACAGGCAGAGCAAAACGCCTTGGGGTAATTAGCAAGCTGGCGTCCAAATGTGTGTTTTGTGTCCGTGCTAAGGGGGTACACGAACATCAGGGTGTAGGAGGCAGACTTGGAGAGCATCAGTTTAGACCTGCATTACTTAAAGCAGGTTTATTTGCGGTATGTAATAGAATTGCATCTTACAGTGCTGGAGTGCTAAGCCTGAGCGAGGGCCGCTGTGCAGATCCCGGTGTGTTGGCTCAGAAGAACCTGCGAAAAATGCATTTCCTTCTTTTGAGCCGGGGGAACGCGGGGGGAACGCGGGGGGAACGCGGCCGCTCCCCGAGGGCCGGGCGGGCCGGGGAGCGGGGGAACCGCGCCGGGAGCCGCGGCGGGCACCAAAACCTGCGGGCACGGGGGATGGAGGGACAGGGGCAGGGACGGAGGGAGGGACGGATGGATGGATGGGTGGGTGGATGGAGGGGTGGATGCCCCGCTCCCACACAGACAGGCAGGGCCGCGCTCCGCCCGGCAGCCGCTCGGCCCGCGTTCCCCCGCACCGCCCGGGCACGGCTGCAGCCCGGTCCGCGCAGACCCGTTAGGCCGCGGCGGAGCCCAGCCGGGACACCGCGGCCGGGCCCGGGGAGCCGCCAACCCCCGGCATGGGACGTGAGGATGTGTCCGCCCCGCGGCCGGGCAGGGCGCGGTCGCGGCTCCGGGCTCGGTGCAGTCCCGGCCCGGCCCGGCCCGGCCCGGCGCGGTCCCGCCCCCGGCTCCGGGAGCGCTTGACAGGCGAGCAGTCACGTGGCGGCCGCAAAGCGCCTCTTTGCGACCTCAATGACAGGCAAAATGTGCGACACAGGCGCTGTGGAGGCAGGCGGGGAGCGGCGCTGCCTCCTCCTCCTCCTCCTTCTCCTCCTCCTCCTCCTCCTTCCCGGGCCAGCGGCTGAGGCAGCGCTGCCCGCTCCCGGCCCCGCGCCCGGCCCGCCGCTCTCCTGCCTCGTCGCCTCCTCGGCCCCGGCAGGGGCAGCCCGGGGGCGCCGCGGGAGCCCGAGCGCAGCGCGGCGCCTCCATGAGCTCCTGAGCTCCCACCCTGCCCCGTCCTCCCCGCGGCAGCGGCTCCAGGTGCGCGGGTCCGAGCAGAGCCGGGACGCAGCTGGCTGCAATGGCGTCCAACATGGACCGAGAAATGATACTGGCTGATTTCCAGGTAAATTTCAAGCCGCCGCCACACAGCCGTGGCCTCTCGCTGCTTTTCTCTTTCTCCTCGTTGCTGTGCTGCTTGTTCTTTGTGGGGAGGTCCGGGGCGGTGGGTGTGAAGCCCACCCTCTGAAGCTCCGCTCTCGCTTTCCTTCTGTTTTTGTTTGTCAGAAATGGGGAGCGTGTGCCCTCTTCTCTCGAGGTGTGTGGACAAAATGTCTTCTTTAACTTGGAGAGTTTCAGTTTTTAATTAATAAAATAAAGCTTTTTCATCCGTTTCGCTTGTTCCTACCCTCTGCAACCACCCAGGCCCCGGGACAGCTGTGAGGCAGCTCCCTTGGAAGAGGCAGATGCCAGGGAGGATACAAAACTCACCAGTCCACATGATTTGTCACAGTGTTTGTAGTGAATCACTTGCTGGTACTACAGATTAGTGCTGAACAGAGGTGTTTCCATTCCAGCATCAACACTAAACTCCATGGTTGCCTCAGCCCATGACTGTTGTGATGACGGTAGAACTCTTCCCACCCCATTCCAGACAACAGCGTGTTTGTGTAGAAGGGAGGAATATCCTCTGCAAAGCTGTTTGTTACCTTTCCTTTTCTCTACAAAAGGGCTGTAACTTAACTTCAGACTTCTAAATCTTATCTCCAGAATAAAGTCTTCCTGTAAGTGAAAGTGATGTGTTTAGGAGTGTATATTGCTTATTTTATATTGTTTTTCTAAGACCAAGTAAAAAAGTGGAGGATACCTGCATGTGAAATAAGGGAGGGAGCCAAACACATCTGGGAAGGGAATCAGATGGTATTTGAATATACTTTTTTAATATTTGCTTTTAAATCCATCGGGTTTTTTTAAGCTCTGTCATTTGCAGTGGTTGTTCTTACATGGATAGGCACCTGGATATCCTTGGATTGATTTGTGAAACTCCCATCTCTATGTTCAGCTTCTTAAAAAAACTGTTAGCAGTGAAACTATTTCTTTCAGCTGAAAAGAAAAGAAAAGTAATCTCTCCAATGCACTCTGTGTGTGTGTTTCTTTGGAGCTCTACAGGTAGGGTGATGTAGTGTGCACAGTAATTCCTGTGTATGAGGTAATTAAGTAATTCCTCTGTTGCAAAAGGTGCCTGGTATCTCACTGACGTAACTCATGGAGTTCCCAGCTGGTAACAGGGAGCTGTCATCCCCTCCTGCACCCCATATCTTACACCTGTATTCATTAAAATGCCCACCAAATGTTACTGAATTGACACTACTTTGTTGTACTTGGCGGTGCTTTTGTGTGTGTGAGGGATGACATCCCAGTTTTAGGGCTGGGATTTCACAAAGGAGTTTTTCCAGGAGCAGCACACTGTGTGAAAGGAAGCTGGGACCCCCATTCTGCATTCATTCCAGTGGGAACAGATTCTTATGGGATCCCACATTATTACCTGAACTTACAATCAGGAATCCCAGAAGATTAAATGAGTGGCTGGTGAACGTAAGATTATTTGTTCAATAGAATTTTCAATACAGATTTACACTTTGCAGGTGTTTTTTGCTATTTTGCAGTATTGTTGTGCTTGGATTTTGAGACCATTAATAAAAGTATAAGAGCAACTGCAGTGTTTGGTACCATGAAGACAAGTAAGTATCATTACAAAGTTGCAGGTGGGTGGTGGAGTCACAGTTTTAGATCAAGGGTGGATGACATAATGTGTCTGAACCTAGGACACAGGAAATATTTTATCATATACCAATCCTTACTTAAAAGGAACCCAAACATTTTCCTATTGTATTTCAGCAGACAGCTTTGTTTTCCTGTTTCATTGTATTTTTTTAAGATTATATCAAGTGTCTACCTGATTTTGAAGTACTGAACTGTTAATTGTCATGCAATTAAAGATTCAGATTAATAAAGGACAATGTCAGTCATTATTAGGCCTTGTATCTGTAGACTGTTAAAAAACAGTAAAGGTTTTTGGGTCTTTTAAATACTTGGTGGAATCTGCAACTCATTCAGTAAGAATTTAAAATGGAGAATAAAACATTATGTGCAAAGTAATTCTGCATGATTTTCCCTTCTATATTTTCTGTACCTTTTAATTAATAAATATATTTCTCAGAGATCTGCTGCCATCTTCTATGTTTATGTGAGGTGTCTTGTTGAAGAATGGTACACACAGTGAAAATTTCAAAAACAATTCTTTGTAGTTTAGTTCAGCTAATCTTTGGTGAATTAAACTGGGAGGGAAACTTCCATCACCATTTCACCCTCACTTTTCCCAAATTGTATTTAAGGGGGATAGATTAGTGGTCTTTAAACCCTTGAAAGGGTTTTTTCTCCCCATTAAAAAAAAAATCATAATTGTACTGAAGCTTTTGTGAAGCTTTCATGGATTTATTTAGTATTTTCCAGAATTATTAGGGATTTTGCCTTGGGTTTCAGCTAGAGCAGGAACTTGTATTGCATTTATTTTTTTTTCTTTCTAGCTCTGATTGTAGTAACAGGTTACTTCTGTATTTGGAGCTACTAAAGAGAATTACTTATTTTTAAAAAGTATTTTACATATGTATATATATATTTATATATTTAATACATATGTGTGTATACACACACACACACACACACATAAACCCATGTAATTTTATGAAATATTTTAAGTATAGAGTAAGGCACAGTGAGTGATCTACCAAAATATTTTTGCCTAATGTTTCAAAACAATTTAAGCCTGTTCTGTGTGGTTTATAATTATTTTCTTTTCCTCTCCTTTTTAATGAGGCTACTGTGTGCTGCCCAGGGAGCACAAAATACATATTCATGCATGTGGGCTGTATAAGCAACCTGCCTAACTTTTCCTTCTTAGGCCCACACTTAGGAAAGATTATGCAGAAGCTTTGCTTTGTACATGAGTAGCCTGATTGTTTCCAGTGGAAGTAGCTGATGTGGAGTTCAGTGCACAAACAAGTTTTAGCTTTTTTACTAAATGCAATTCAGAACTTCTCCACAAAGTGTCATTGGCATAAAGGAAGAACTCCATAGGAAAAAGCACAACAGCTTGTTTTGGTAGTGTAAATTCTTCAAAAAGGTAGCTGCATGTGAATTGGTAAGTGATGCTGTAACACACTTCACATACTGGGGGAAATAAGGGCATAATTTTTACCAGTTTTTGAACAACTGTTCTGTTTGTTGTATTTTACTGCAAAGTGTGCTTCCATCTTCAGTGGGATACCCAGGTGCACACATGGTACAAATATACTCATGATCTCTTGCAGTTTAAGGTCTACTTTTCACTATAAAGAAAACAGATTTTTTTCCTTTTTAATTTTTAAAATTTAGTTACGCAGAGCTTCATTTAATTGACATAGATTGGTCTTTATTCCCAAATTTTAACTTTGGGTATTGTCAGAAGTGTCAGATACTGATGTTTTTGCGCACTAGCACTTTTGTTTTTACAGCTTCACTTAGGATTGGAACTAAAATTAGCAAAACCATATTTTTGTCCTTGTAAGTTATGTCCACCTATAGGACCACTTTATTCATGCTGTGTGCTTGTCCTCACAACAATCCTAAATGTGGAGTGGCCTAAGGGTTGCAGTGTTGTGGGGGTTGCCAGATCCTGTGTGTCCATGTATTATAAGAATATCTGGCACTCTGGAACTTCAGGAGGAAATTTTTCAAAGAATTCATGTTTTTCATTGACCAAAAAATAAGTAGCTCAGGATTTGGTCAGGGTGGGAGGATTTCAGAGTGAAATGACAGAATGACAGAACTCAAAAATCCTTGCTTTCATTGAGACAACGGATTTCTAGTAGTTTTCTTCTTCCCTCTTTCATCTCTGTTCATTGTGAAACCAAGGTATGTGCTTTTTTTTCCTTTTCCAAACTTTTTAAAAACTGGATTATAGACTACTTTTGTGTGATTCACACACTTGTGTATAAAAATGTCTTTTTTTTTTTTCCAAACTTCAACTTTGTGTCAATCTCTTTCATAAAAACAGGTTTGTGGGAAGAGCAAGGGGGAATTGGGAAGGAAGAGCCTCATTGCCATCAGTTGCAGCAAAGTGAGAAAGTGTGCTAAATGATTGTGTTTTAAATTAAAAAATTGACCATGACAGTGATACATCAGTTTACAACTTTTTGTTTTGTTTGTTTTTGAAGATTTAATTGTAGTTCAATCTACTTGTTTCCTTCTGGAATGGCAGAAATTAATGAAACTGGAGAATCTTTTCACCTGGGGTTCACACAGTACTGTTAAATAACTGACAAAATAAAGTTTTTGGTTTGTTTTTGGTTTTTTTTTTTTTTTTTGTTTTTTTTTGTTCCTGTCTGCTTCAGCCCTGTGGAAGATCATCTCAGTTGTGAACAGTTTTCACTGTCCAACGGTCTGTGTGTAGAATTTACATTTGTATTTTTTTTTTAAGGGTGCTAAGTGAGCTTTGCTTTCCTTTGTGCTTGTTGGCATGGTGGCTCAGGTTTTCTGTCATTTTAATCTATTGCCAGTATAAAGATTTGATGGGTGGAAAAGGTGGGCAGATACAGGAATAGCTTCAAGTCAGTACCCTTGATTCTGGCCCTGGACTGTGACTTAGGGTGGGTGCTGGAAAGTGTTTCAAACATTTCTGTAAGGATAAACCACTCACTGTGGCTTCTGGACAAATCTCAAAGTGGATGTCCTTAATGTTGATTTCTGAAAGAAAAAGACGTGTTTTGTCATTAAGGTGCTGGGGCAGAAAGGGCTGTTCTTGCTTTCTGTGCAGGGATTCACTGGAGTGTTTGGGAATTTGGAACAAAAGGTAGTTGCTGAAGAGAGTTCCAGTCAAAGTCTAAACGTAAGCTGGAGAACACTTTCCAAAGATTTAAAGTTCTTGGAGGCCTACATTTTCATCAGAAGGTCTCCCTCTATACCCCAGTGTACATTTGTTCAGATCTGTCTGAGCTTACACCTCAGTCTTGCCCTCAGTCTTACTCAAACCAAAACCTCTCTTTAGTGTGGCCTCTCTGTAGAATGTGGAGTGCAGTGGGTGCTGAA